CCCATCACCCCATCCCCACCTTTGGCTTGTTCTGTGTGGAAGAGGCCAATGCTGGCAGCCGCTTGGACACCATACGCCCTCTGGTGGACTTCAGTGGTAATGAGCACAATCGGCCACACAGGACTTCTGTTCTTGCCTCCCCAAGGCTGTGGTGTCCTCCAGTCTGCACTCCAAACCCAACTTCAGGGAACCGGGCTGTTGGGAGGAGGCCCCGAACCCCTGACTCTCATCTTCACCCGGGTTGAACGCCCCCGTGTTCTGCCGAGCTTTCATCTACTCCAGACGGTCCTTGTCCACTTCCTGCGTGGTAAGGACGAAGAAGGATTCCACAGGGGAAGCCGATGGCCCAGGCTAGTCCCACAACCTTCACAGGGATCGTGACCCTCTTTCTGGGATGTATTCCTTCTCAATGGAGAGGGGCTCAGGCTCCTGCTTGCACTGGGATGAGCCGCTCTTCTGTGCTCTGGTTCTGTTCTGGGAAGCTTTGTCAGCCATGGCTCCCAAGATCCCGAGGGAGGATGCGGGCGATTTTCCATCCCTTGGCCCATCAGTGCCGTAGCAGCTACCACTACTGCGGAGTTTGATTTGCTCATTTGTATGTTACCTGTATGGATGTGTTGCCCACATGTATGTCTGTGCACCATGTGTACACAGTGCTAGGGAAGGCCCAAAGAGGGTATCAGATCCCCAGTTATGAGTTCTTGTGAGCTGACTTGTGGATCTGAACCTGGGTCCTCTGCAAGAGCATCAAGTGCTGTTAACCACTGAGCTATCTTCCCCCCCCCCCCTCAAAAATATATTCTACCATCAGGCCTGCGGGACCCTGATTCCTAGCTAGCCTTGGTGTTCTGGTTTGCTTTCTACTGCTGTGATAAACACCAGGACCAAAGCAAACTGGGGAAGGAAAGTTATTTGCACTTCCAGGTCACAGTCCATCGTGGAGGAACTCAGGCAGCAACCTGGAGGCAGGAGCCAAAGCAGAGGAGATGGAGGGTGCTGACCGGCTTGCTCTCGATGGCTTGCTCACTTGGGTTTTAATGCAATGCATATTTTTTATATAATGCACAACCTCCCACATCAATCATTAATCAACAAAATACCCTCGCAGAGTTGCCTAGAAGCCAATCTGATGGAGGCATTGTCTTGTTTGAAGTTCACTCTTCACCGATGACCCTAGCATGTGTCAAATTGGCAAAAACAAACAAACAACTAACCAGCACAGTAGGCTAGGTAGTGAACTCGACCAGCCTCACCCTCAAAACAAACAAACAAATAAATCCATTCTAAGCCAGGCATAGGCACCTGCTGCAATCCCAGCTACTGAGGAAGCTGAGCTGAGGTCCAACGCTCCCTTGAGCCCAAGAATTTCAGACCAGTCTGAGCAACATAGTGATACCAAGTATCAAATAAATAGGACAGGGCTTAGGGGAGGGCGCTCAGCTGATGCAGGGCTTGTCTTGCAGACTCAAGGACCTGAGTTAGATACCCAGAGTCCACACACGTGCAATCTCAACGGTCAGGAGGCAGAGACAGGCAGATCTTTGTGTCTCCCTAGCCAGCCAGCCAAGCATTCTTGGTGACTCCAGACCAGTCCAGGCCTATCTCAGAAATTAAGGTAGCGGTGTTCCTGAGGAAGAACGAAATTGTCCTCTGGTTCCACACACACATTCATGCCTTCACAAACATACACATGTATACACACACACACACGTTGTGGAATATTATTTTAACTAGACAAAGGTGTGTTACATTTGTTTATGCTGCAGACTATTACTTTAACTGTGTAAAGCTGTGTTGCATTGTTTATACTGCATTTGTTTAATTATGTAAAGATGTGTTGCTGTTTCACTTTGCCTGCCTAAGGCACCTGATTGGTCTAATAAAAAGCTGAGGCTGTGCAGTGGTGGCACACACCTATAATCCCAGCACTCGGGAGGCAGAGCCAGGCGGATCTCTGTGAGTTCAAGGCCAGCCTGGGCTACAGGGTGAGTTCCAGGAAAGGCGCAAAGCTACCCAGAGAAACCCCATCTCAAAAAACCAAAAAAAAAAAAAAAAAAAAAGCTGAACAGCCAGTAGTTAGGCAGAGGAGGGACAGGCAGGGCTGGTGGGCAAAGAGAATAAGAGAAGAGAAGAAGAGAAAGAAGGAGAGGAGAATGAGGGAGAAAGAGAGGGACACACCCAGGAGCAGAAACCAGGCAGCCACCAGCCAGCCAGCCAAGAGGAGCAGTGGAAGGAAGGGAGGGAGGAAGGAAGGGAGGAAGGAAGGAAGGAAGGAAGGGAGGAAGGAAGGAAGGAAGGAAGGAAGGAAGGAAGAAAGGAAGGAAGGTAGGTTAAAAAGCCCCGAGGCAAAAAAGGTAGCTAAAGAGAAACAGGTTAATTTAAAAGGCTGAGTGGTGGTGGTGCAGCCTTCGATCCCAGCACTCAGAAGGCAGAGGCAGGTGGATCTCTGTGAGTTCAAGGCCAGCCTGGTCTACAGAGCGAGTTCCAGGACAGCCAAGGCTACACAAAGAAACCCTGTCTTGAAAAACCTATAATAATAATAATAATAATAATAATAATAATAATAATAATAGTAATAATAATAATGGTTAGTCTAAGCGGGAAAGATGGCTCAGTGGATAAAGCATTTGCCGTGCATGTGTGAGGACTGGAGTTTGGATTCCCACATAAAAGTTGGTGTGTTGGTCAGAGTTCCCTAAAGGAAACAAAGGCTTTAGGATGACTGTGTGTATTAGAAGGGGGATTATTAGCGTGGCTTACAGGCTGTGGTCCTCGGAGTCAACAGTGCCTGACTCCTAATGGAAAAACCAAGAACTTGGTACTTTTTCAGTCCACGAGACAGGATGTCTCAGCAATCCCAGTCCTGGGATTAAAGGGGTGTGCTTCCACTGCCCAGCAAGATTTTTTTTTTAATAATTTATTTGCTTTTATGTGCATTGGTGTTTTGCCTGCATGTATGTCTGTGTGAGGTGTCAGATCTTGGAGTTACAGACAGTTGTGAGCTGCCATGTGGGTGCTGGGAATTGAACCTGATCCTTTGGAAGAGCAGCCAGTGCTCTTAACCACTGAGCTATCATCTCTCCAGCCCCAAGTTTTTTTTAAAGCAGGTTTTTCTGTGTAGCCCTGACTCACCTGGAACTAACTATGTAGAACAGATTGATCTCAAATTCATAGAGATCTGTGTGCGTCTGCTCCTAAATGCTGGGATTAAAAGAGTACACCATCAATCATGGGCCATATATATAGGATCTTGGTAGAGTTCAAAGTTACTCTCTTATCACTGAGTGATTCCCAAGGGACAGTGACAGTACTACAACCCAAAATGTGAAAGTCTAGCCCGCAGACACAGGAAGACAGGCCCTTTACTGTGAACAGTCTTGAGAGTCTCAGGCATTGCCTGTGGAAAGCAATGAGGCCCTCTCCAGGTCACAACTGCGGTGATTTGATGAGAAGGCCCCCATAGGCTCATATGATTGAATGCTTGATCTCTAGTTGGTGACTGTTTGGGAAAGATTAAAAGGTGTGGCCTTGCCGGGCGGTGGTGGCGCA